GGGGGTGGGTTAGAAGTTCATTACTTATTTGCTTGATTTTCTTTTAGGCAAATTAACATGCTACCACAAAAGTAATTGGGCTTATTTTAAAGTCCTCTTGCTGGTGCTTAGGTTTGCCTTATGGGACTGCAGACAGAAAACTAGCATCTGGTGTTTGAGGTTGCTGGGGAGTTTCACCGTATTATCTGTAATAGCTCAACTATAAATAAACAAAATGAATAATTAAATGAGTACTAACATAGCCTGAATAATAAATTGTCCAAAAACACTCTCTGCAAAGGACCTGGTGCTGTATTTTGTGCAAAATACCTTGGGCTGGATTGTGAGACTAGATTCTCATTAACTGTATAGCCATGATGCAGGATTTTGTCAGTGCTGAAAATTCACAATGTAATCATTCAGGACAGTTCCGCTGCTGCTAGATGAAAGCATAATTAAACTTTATTGGAAAAAGAAAATAATAATTTGCCTCATGATGGAATCCTTAGCAGCATCTTTCCTAATGGCCCATACAAGCAGTAGTGGCTCAGTTCACAAGTTGCATTAAGCCAAAACTTAAAAAAACAATACCATGATTTAGTGCAACATGAGAATATAGCAAGATTTGTCCTGACGTTAGTATGCTGGATAGGCTGTGCATGGTTTTGAAAATTATTTGGAATAGGGGGTTGAAGAAGAGGTGAGAGTGTTTGCTCAGCACATCTTTAAAGGGGCTATATATTTTTTTTTTCAGGCTCTCACTTTAAAGAAATGCTGTTCCTGTGATGTGCATTCTGAAGCACCTCTTCCAAACTATTTTTGAAACATGTACAGTCATAAAACCGGACTTATTAAGAAACCGGAATTATTATTATTATTATTTATTATTAAACACTTATTAAGCATAATGTTGATCTTCTGGTGTTGTAAGTATGACTTCTCTTTCAAGGAACTTCAGGTTGGCTTATGTAGATTTTCCCCATTTTATCCTCACAACATGAGGCAAGTTAGGCTAATGGCCACTGAAATATCTGTATGGCTAATAAGAGACATGAACTCCCATTGCCAGGTTTCAAGTACAACTAACCACTAAAGTATATTGTCCCTTGCAAAAGGCTCACAAATTGTCATTGAAAGAATACGACGTGTTTCTAAAAATAAATGAAAATAAATATTTTGTAGGAATATAAGAACAACCCTATTAGATCAGACAAGAGACCCATCTATTCCACATTCTTTTCTCATGGTGGCCAGCAAAATGTCTTTAGGAAGTCCACAAGCTGCACAGGAGTACAGTACAACCACGATCCCGTGCTTGTGTTTCCTAGCAACTGTTATCCAGCAGTAGCCTGCTTCTGATAGCAGATGTAATATATAGTCATTACGAGTAACCTTGAAGATAAGGCCTGGGGTTTAGTGTGGCCCCAAAATTACACCCACTGCTGTTTTGGTCCTAGGAAGTCTACTCAGTAAAACAAAACATACAGGGGATTGTATTTATTTTGGTCATATTAGATATATTCAGAAACATTGCTAATGTTATTCTTTGGCACAACTCCCAAGCTTTGTGCTCTGCTATAACCAAGGTAACAATCCTATACATGTGTACATGGGAGTAAGTCCCATAGGACTCATCAAAATTTACTCCTGAGTAGACATATATATAGTGGTGCTTTAAAGTTTGTGAACCCTTCACACAAATTTAAA